GCGAGGCCCCGCCCCGGGCGGGGCTGCCCGCCCCCCAGACAATGGCCCTCTGGGTACCTTGCTGCTGCAGTTCTCCTTGAGCTTCTTCAAAGCAGCGATATGGCCCTTGGCCAAGTCCACGACGTGGATGTAATCCCGGACACCTGCGGGGACACAGAGGGTGAGCACAAATCCCTCCTGCCCAGGGCGCGGCTGGGCTGGGGGGCTGCGACGGACACCCCGGGGTACAGGGTGTCTCTGCTCCACCCCTTCTGCCACGCACCCGTTCCATCGTCCGTCTTGTAGTCGTTCCCAAACACGCTCAGGAATTCCCGGCGTCCCACGGCCACCTGCACAGAGGGACAAGCCCACGAGAGCCCCGTCAGCCTGTGCCCCACACAGGCACCGTGAGCCCAGGGGTCCTCAAAGGCTGCAGCGGGGCAGTACCTGCGCCACGTAGGGCATGAGGTTGTTTGGGATCCCCTGAGGATCTTCTCCGATCACGCCCGACTCGTGGGCACCGATGGGATTGAAATAGCGCAGGAGAACGGCGTTCCAGTCCTGGACACACACAAAAGGTGGCTGCCTGGGGAGGGTGTAGCGCTGTGCCGCACTGCCTGGTCACCCCAGCATGCTCCAGTGGGAAAAGACCTCAGTTCCCAGCCCCGCGCGCCTTGGGGCAGCTCCTCACCCTCTCTGCTTTGCAGAGATCTTGAATCATCTCCTCGATGAAGTACTTGGATTTGCCGTAGGCGTTGGTGCAGCCTCCAACCGGGTGGTTCTCATCCAGGGGCAGGTACCTGGGGTCTCCGTAGACGGTGGCAGCCCACGCGCGCGGCTCAGCCCTCGGCAGGCGGCAGCTCCCACCACGCAGGCAGCGTTACGCCCCTGGGACAGGGCTTGGGCAGCACCGCAGGGACCAGCTGCCAGCCAGCACAGCCACCCCAGAGCAGGATCACACCCAGCGCCCGTGCAGCCCCCAGCACCACACGCTGCCTCCCAGCTCCTCTCACCTCCAGCAGCCGGATGGTCCCGGTGAGGTTCACCCTGTAGTACTCCAGGGGCTTCTGCACAGACTCCCCCACTGCCTTCAGCCCCGCAAAGTGCATCACGGCTGAGAAACGGTGCTGCAGCGGGAGAAAGCGCTCGGTGTTAGTGCCACAGCAACAGGAGACAGAAGCTTCGGGCAGAAACCGGCCAGAAGTCTCCCCAGGAGTCTCACTCGGCCAGCCCGTGTGGTCTCCATGGTCCAGAGGAACATTTGCTCGTCATGGCATTTCCTCACCCCTGTCCTCCCTGTTCAGCTCCTGCCCAGTCCACATCTCCCTCCTGGCTCCCACCCCCAGCACAAACCCCTCTCGCCCCTTGGAGCCCATGAAGCCACCCTGAGGCACTACAGCTCTTGCTCTCACCTTACTGAAGAGCTCCTGCAGTGCTGCCTCGTCAGTGATATCCAGCTCCTGGAAGAGGATGGGCTGATGCACGATCTGCTGCACACGCCGGAGGCTCTCGGGGAGCGCGTCTGCCCCTGGGGAGATGGATGGGGGTGGGGCACTGGGATAGCTGGAGGTCCTGGCACCGGCCGAGAGGGCCAAGCCCCTTCCACAGGAAGGGATGAAGGCTCGCCGTACCTCGGACGG